TTTTCACAAGTTCCTGACAAGCATCCCAGAGTGCGATAAACGCGCCTGTAATCGATGTGGTGCGCGTGCCACCATCGGCTTGGATGACATCACAATCAACCCAGACCGTCCGCTCTCCTAAGGCGTGCAAGTCTACAGCAGCACGCAAGGAACGACCGATGAGACGTTGTATCTCTTGTGTTCTGCCACTGGCCCCGCCACGGGTTATCTCGCGCTGCATCCGTTTAGAAGTCGAACGCGGTAACATGGAGTACTCAGCTGTTACCCAACCCTTATTCTTGATCCGCTGGTCGCGCATGAACCGCGGCTGCTGGTCAATAACGGAGGCTGTACATATAATGCGGGTATCACCTGTTGCAACGAGGACTGAACCCTCCGCATGCTTGATATAGTGTCGTTTGATTGTAACCGGTCGCAACTCATCTGGCCGGCGTCCATCCTCTCTCGCCATTTTTCTCCCCATTTATAAGGTTTTAAGCAGTGCTAACGCCTTGGTGTAACTTTTCCGTTCAAGATAGTGCCCAAGCATTTTAGGGGCTGTCGGCGCAAGCGCCCTGATGCAACGCGTTAATCCGCTCCAATTGTTCAAGTATATCTTCCCCTGCCTCAATTCGAGAAAACATTGTCTCCAACGCCTGTTTGAGTTCCAAAAAACCATCAACTTGCATCCGATTCCTCCATTTGCTGAACCGCTTTGCATGTCCGCAGAGAAACATTCTTCGATGGCGCATCATAGCCTTTCCACGCATAAGGATCCACACCAGAAACCGGGACAATGCATCGCCGGTCAGCACTCGCTGGACGTTCACCTTCCCGAATCGACCAAGGTAACAGCGACCAAGCGTTACAGTAATGGCTCACCAAAACCCTGCGATACGTTTCGCCGCGGTTTTTACGGGACCGATGGAGCAGATATCCGTTAAAGAAGACCAATGTCCCAGTTGTAACTTCAACCGGCACCTCATCGGCGTAATCAAAACCGTAACTCTCATCAGCAAAATCAAACTCATCAGGATTCTCATGCGCTTTCTGCGGATAGAGATAGCCTTGACGATGTGAACCCGGGAGCACCCATAAAACACCCGTTTTCGACTGTAGCATCATCCATCGCGATCCAAGCACCTATTAAGGAACGATCACGCGTCGGAATGTAGATTTCGTCCTGGTGCCACGCCTGTCCTTGGAAATTTGGCGGCTTCACAAAGAGCATAGACTGCATGCACTTGACGCTTCCGTCCCAATAGGGGAGATGCGCAGCGGCTATTTGGCTCAAGATACCGCAGATTTTCGGGTGCTTGACGTACTGCTCAACGATTGGACTGACAAAATGCGGTTGATGAATGCAGAGAATACGGTTGATAACCTCAGCATCACTAATATCGTCAGGGAGCGGTTTTAGATTGTCGCACGGATGACCGCCTTTCGCGATTGTGACGGCGTCCTGCCGCAACTCCTCTATTTCATCAAGGGAGAGCAGATCCGGGACAACAAGATACCCATTCTCCACAAAAAACTGGGTCTGTTCATCAGATACGATTCTCGGCACCTCAATCGGTGCACTTGCTTCAAAGTTCACGGTTTCTCCTTTACTGGCTGTCAGTTGCAGCCATCGGTTAAGAGGTTTCTGGTTCAGTTGAAATTCTCTTTAACCGATACACCTTAAAAGAAACTTCTATTTTAACCCAAGTTGCTACTAACGGATTTTGGGCGTTTCAACACGGTTTTTCGGACACTTTCCCCACCCCAGAGGGGTGTATAGGTAATTGTGGGTTTTACTATACTAACGGATTTTGGGCGTTTCAACACGGTTTTTCGGACACTTTCCCCACCCCAGAGGGGTGATATATCTATAGAAACTTGCGTTATTTTAATCAAATCTCTTGTAACCAACAACTAATAATCAAACGCGATTCGCAAGGAACATTTCTGTTACCGCCAAAGCAAAAACAGCTAACATGAGATACACCCATACATTTTGGTTCTTCTCAACATCCTCGTGGTATTGCGCTATGAGCTCTGTCGTCGCTTCCTCCTCAACCGATTCGTCCGCAGCACCCTTCAGCATACTCGTTAACTCCTCTACATCACGTGCAGCAAGGTCGGACTCAGTGGTGTCAACATTGACGATAAAGTAGGTCGAGTCCGCACCAGATGTATGGACTGAGTAGATACCGGGAACTGCGGTGTCATCGTAAAAAACGCTGCCCTGCGAGGAAACTTCAGTAGAATTCTCATTGCGTTGCAAGCGAGTTTCAACGTTGTTAGGATCGAAAACAGCGATTTCCCTGCTCCGCGCAGCGTCGCCATTTTCATCGTCCGAAACCTTCAGTTCAACACTATCACCAACACGATAATTCGGCGCAGCGTCTACATCCTTAAGCGCGAGATACTTAATAGCCTCATGCAGGAACGGTAGATAAACGGCGCGAATCGGTAGATCGTTCCATTCCCTGTCTATTGTCGAGGTAAAACAGAGCACACGTCCTAAGGTTCCGTAAGGTTTTTCAAAGAGTGCTGGACTACCATCATCATAAGCAGCAATGACGGTTGCATCCTTTGTAGGTACCGCCTGAAAAATTCTGTAAAATCGAGCCTTACCGAAATCCCCATGATTCGGCTCTTTGAACGGCGCGAAAATTGGATGTTCGTATTTCACCGTAGCGAGCACACGGAACTGCTCGCGATTAAGCGCATCACCAACCGCTTGCACAAAATCACACGGCATCAATCCGGTCTCGCCGCTGAGGCGTTGTTTATAGACATCGGCATCTATATTATCGCCGACTGTTACAATCAAACCGCCACCGGCAGCGACGTAAGCCTTCACACGCTCAGCTTCACCGGAAGAGAGTTCTGCTACATCCGCAAGGATAAACACATCTACGCTTTCGAGTGTCGATGCATTCGGTACCGAGACAGATTCAGTGAAATCAATCTGCACGGCATCACTCCCTGATGCCAACGCCTTCTTCATGAAGAAAGTTTCGACAGTTTGATAGCGGCTGCGCGTTCGCTGTTGTTCCCGGACAGCATGGACTTTAATCGACTGTAGACTTTGCAAAGTAAAATATCGCTTGTTGTCAACACCGAGTGCATCCTCAGGAAGTTCAACCCAACCTGTATGTGTTGCCTCATCTTGGAACTCAACCTTGAAAACAGCGTCCGCGAGGTCATCTGGTTCAATGTCAAGCTCAACACTGTCAATCGCATTGCCATCTATGAAGAGACGCACCTGCAAATTTTCAACCGGTTCATCACCGAAATTATGTACCCGCGCGACAAGCTGCGACGCTTTCTGTTCCTTGAGTACGACAGACGGAACGCTGATCTCGGTAACAGCATAATTTTGCGGTTTTTCAGCACGGACATCTACAAAATGAATTTGGACATTAGGGCTGAGTTTGTCCGTTTCAATAAAATTCTCCCATCCGCGCTTTTGCATATCTCCGATAAGATAGACCTGTTTCCCACCGATAGGAATAGACTGGAGGACTTCATCTGCGGTTTGCATCGCGTCCAAGTAATCCGTATGCTCATCAGAGGTTTCTGCGTTGTTCAAAGCCGTACGGATGTGCGAGAATTCTGAACCCAGCGGTGCAACGACACGAGCGTTGTCAGACGAAAGAATGAGGCACGCAGCATCGGAGGCGTCAAGTCCATCTAAAATTTCAACCGCCTCTTTCTTAGCGTTTTCAAAAACCCCTTCATACTGCATACTATAGGAGGTATCGAGAATAATAACAGCGTTCCGTTTGCCACCCGTCTTCTGCGTAATCACGGGTGCATCGGCGAAAAATGGACGCGCAAATGCCAAACCGAGCAATGCCAACATCAGAATACGCATTAGCAGCAGCAGCAGCCGTTTCAACTTGTGCCGTCGCACGTTCGTCTGATGCGACATCTGGATGAAACGGACGGTGCTGAAAATCAGTCGCCGCGCACGCTCACGGTTCAACAGATGAAGGATGAGCGGGATGGATGCTCCTATCGCACCCGCTATTGCAAAAGAGGCTGTTAAAAAAGTCAAGCCAAACATTGTATTCCTTTTATTGGCTGTCAGTTATCAGTTATCGGTTGTCAGTTAAGAGGAGAACTTATGTTAATCAAAACCCTCTTTTACCGAGAACTAAAAACAGAAGGGCGATACTCCATTCTTGTATCGTTTAGGACTTACGCATTTCCTCTTAAAGTCCCCCTGATAAGGGGGTTAAATACAACGAAATACTCTCACTGCGAGGCAACACGCGCATTCCGTGTTGATTCATGCGATCTGCATTCCTAACCGCACCGGCATCGTTAGGAAATTACTGAATTATGGTGAAGCCTATAAATAAGTGGACATCTTTGTAGCATAAACTGTTAGTTTGTGCCAGTGTGAATGCCCGTTAGCAGCATTCACACTGTTTGAGAATGTCTAATTAATTCTGAAATCTACTATAAATACTTAATCTTCATGTAACCGCGCCGAGTTCTATCCATAAACTGTGTGTACTCAAAAACCCTCTTGAGTCCCAGAGGGTTTATTTGCTGGGGTGTTTCTTCAGTATCTGTGTAGAAACATGTATCAACCAAAATCCAGGTTTCCCCAGAGGGGCGGCATCTGTAGAAACGCTCCCACAAAACACCGTAAAAAACCACTAAATTTACGCTCTGAATGCCATAGCCCGGTAGGGGCGGTTTGCAACCGCACCATAGGTGTAAATTTAGCGGTATTCCAGGTCCGGTAGGTTCGGTTTCCTAACCGAACCGGACTTATCCCAACCCAGGCCTCGGTTTCTTGTTTAGCGGAAAACCTTGTTTAGCAGACGCTGCAGCTGAAGGTTTTCGCGGACGATCCGATGCGGTTAGGAAACCACATCTACCGGCCTGGGATATTCAGCACATAACTCTTTTCTTAAATTGACACTTATGGGGCGGTTTGCAACCGCACCGGACCTTATAGAAAACATCCCACGAATTACCCGATTAAATTCTTAAACTTCATGAGGGGTGCTATATCTATAAATAGGCAACTTGCGTTATGTTAATCAAAACCCTCTTTTGCCGAGAACTATAGTAAAGTTTAGAATTAAATAGACACTTCTGCAGTCCCCCGGTAGGCACGGTTTCCTAACCGTGCCGGTGCAAAGTGTCCCATTAATTCTGGGATCCACTATAAAAACAGAAGGGCGATACTCCAGTCTTGTATCGTTGAGAGACACCTCCACACAATTGTTCGTGTGGTACTATCAAATTAGAGGACTCCTTGCCGCTTGGCGAGATAAGAAGCGAGTGCCAGATCAATCGGGGTTGCTGTTGTTATCATATTGTAATCAATATCCGCCTGCCGGAGTGCGAGCCGATAGGTATCAAGAAAGTCGTTGAAATTGCTCAGATAACTCTCACGAATCGCTTGCGGAGTTGTGATAATCTCAGCGTCGCTTTCTGAATCAATAAACCGGATAAGTGCGTCTGAACTTCGTC